CAATCCATCTGAGCCGCTGCATAACCTTATCTTGCACTACTCCTCCACCATCCTGACCACCATCCTGGATGAGAGCCATTGGAGAGGGAACTAAGTGGAGAGAGAACTGAGTGGGGGAGGGACCTCAGTGCTGTCTATTTATAGGAGCCACCCAGGGAGAGTTTTTGGCGCCAAAGCAACATCAGATAGCCTCTTCTTCCTGAGGGCATGCTTGTCTTTTCCCTCATCCGTTAGCCACAGTTATTATTTGCATTTGGATGAAATGGCTTGTAAGGCAAAGAAGTTTAGAGCAGTGGCACCTATGTGTGATCATTTTTTAATGGCTTGTGTGTAATTACAAATCTTTTTAATGGCACACAGGTAAAAGACTCCACATACAAACACAAGCACAAACCAAAGTGCAAAGTATGCACAAGCAAATGGTCATGAGGGGAGGGCAGAAGGGGAAGGGGGTGATAGGAGAAGTCGGCACTAACCTTAGCGGGGAAGGATACGGAGGAGCTGCGGCCCCGGGTGGAGAGGGAGAGGGAGGAGGGTGCGATGGGGTCGGAGACCATGGAGAGGGTCGCCATTTTTGCTCTCCTGTGACACCGAGAGAAGCCTATGCGTCTCGGATAGAAAACCCCAGGGCCAGGGGAAAGATGATGATAAGGTTGCGTAGGCAACTTCCGCGGATCTAGTGGGCCTTTCCGGATATGCTTGTTTTGGGCTCTACGAGGCCCAAGAGGTACGATATTTTGGCCTCCATAAAGCCCAAAGTTTGCAAGTCTCTTTTTTTTTAGCTTCAGAGCTTGCAAGTCTCTCTCTCTCTCTCTCTCTGTGTGTTTTTGAGCTTGCAAGTCTTAAAGCGTCATATATATGATGATCAATACAAATTCTTAGATAAAAAATATTAGTAGTACATGATTGCCGTTGATATTTATTTTCTCATGAAGAATATGAGCTAGTTCAACTTTTTTTTCTTGACGGTCCATGAAAAGAGGCAAGATGGTTTTATATAAATTACTAACAAATATACCCGTGCATTATAACGAAATGAAAAGCTATCAAACTTTCACCCATGCATTACAACAAAATAAGAAAATAGCTACCAAACTTTTTTCTCTTTCTTTGAAATTTAAGAGTTATAGTTTATTATTAATTAGTGTTGCACTCGAAAATTTACTATCAACGGACACAAGTGATGTGTCTGAAAACACTAAAAATTTATTAGAGGTATCTTACAAAAGTCTTCTGAAATATTAAAATTGTGCACACACCTATAGGTCTCACACGTCAATATTTCCCTTTAGGTGTAAGTATTTCTCTGTTGAAGTAATTCTTGAGGTTTCTTTAATATTCTCTTCATCACAAATTAAATTAACTTCTAGAGTTATTATAAGTAAAGTTGTTTAAGTTTGACCAATTTTATACAAAATAACATTGTTACTTATGACACCAAATTAGTACCACGATTGCGTAACGAAAAAATATATAATGTATTTTTTTGGTGTAATAGATAATAGATATATGTTGTTACACTTTTGTATAAAGTTGATAGTTTAACTTAGAATGATTTTAGGAAATGATTTAGGTTCTTTTTGGCAAGGCTCTGACTTCTCAAAGAAAATGGAGGAACTAGGAAAAAACATGTTTTGGTGTGTGGCTTTGGCTTCTAACCCCAAAATGGCTTCGACTTCACTATTTTAGCTTGTTTTGGCTTCAAAAGCCATTCTAGGGTATGCTTGTTTGGTAGGACTTTTAATTAAGCCGGTTGAGAAGTCCAACGAAAACCCTGTCAAATAGGACCTTATTTTGGAATAGAGGCGTAGTTCTAAGTACATGGCAGCTCTTACATGTCAATATATTTCAAACGTGCTCAGTAGTCCTTAGTAGGTATCACATGTAGTTCTCTGTGTTCAGTAGCTCCCGGTACCTCTTTTGCGCGCGCGTGTGTGTGTGTGTGGGGGGGGGGAGAGGGGGGAGGGAGGTACCTAGTTAGGTGTCAAGGGTCATCTTTGTCATGTGTTTTGTACTTCTTTCTCATCTGCTTAATAGTACTCAGTTTTCACGTCTTCCATGTTTGGTGTTTTCTAGGTTCTGTATTTCAAATGTTCTCCCATAGAGTTAGAGTTGATTTTTTCGTATTGTCTGCTCAAGTTGCTATTTTTCTGAAATTATCAAATATGGGTCCTATATACTCATGGGTATTGATTAGTGTTGCAACATTCATACTTATTAGGGATCGAAGCACCTATACTTATTGTGGTCGCATCAAGCATATTGGTCAGGGCTCCTAGAATTCATAATGATTAATGGTTATTATAGCATCTATACTTATTAGGCCTCGCAACATCGTACATCATCGGTCACTTTAGAATATTTTTCGCATAGACATCTCACTATCCTCCCCCCTTTACTCGCTTCCCCATCATGTCCTTATAGGGATGAAAACCATCGGAAATGGTTTATAAAGCCCTTTTACCGCTTTCAATTTCACATTTTTTTTCTAAAAACATAATTGAAATTGAGAATACCGGTCGGAAAAACAGATATAGAAATGTCAAGATATCATAAACAAAACAGTTTGCTTAGGTATAACGTCGGCCGGAACCGGTAATTAGAATCAGGAACACATAATCCTGAGGTCAAACATGCAAGTAAAAATGACGGATCCAAATTACTTATACCATAAAAAGGACGCATGCAAATGATATTATTATGAGGCATCATTCCTGTGTGCTAAATCTCTCAGCATAATTTTTGAATAAGGTGTTGCTGTAAGGCATCAGTCAATTCTTTGAAAAATAAATAATAAATAAATAAATAGAGAGAATAGAAAATGAAAGAAAGCAGCAGCGTTCTTGCAATTTGGGTTTGAACGTGGTCTTGTATCAATGGGCTTGAGCGTATTTTTCATCCCATGACATTCTAGTGCCCTCAATCAATGCTCACCATGCAGCGTGTGTGCCTGGTGTTTTATCCCACCTCGTTCGAACAGGCACTGTGGATGCCGTGGATGCGCTATATAACATAGGAGCCAACGAAACAGAATTGTTGGAGTAGGGCTGCTTCCTAGATTAGTATGAGGGAATCCCGGATAGGGCCGGGAAAACTCTTAGAACCGTTTTTCATCTGACGATGTTATTTTTTTGGAATTGTTTATGTATCTGCACGATTTTCTGTTCTTGCGACTTGTAATTTCTGCCATGTTTTTGTATTTTGTATTCTCTTGGTAAATGTGTTGGAAAAGTTGTACCTTGCTTTTGATCTTCATCAATATGTGGTCAGTAAATGTGTTTGGTCGGTAAATGTAGCATATGGTGTTGGTTGGGACTAGATTTTTAGGTCCAATGGAGATCGTCTTACCTCCTTCGCCATTCTGTGCCTCCATATAGTCGCTCGCTTCGTCTCCTTGGCTTTTGATCTTCCTTGGTCGATAAATGTGGTATATATATGGTGTTGGTTGGGACTGGATTTTTCAGGTCCAACGGAGATCGTCTTATCTCCTTTCGTCATTCGTGCCTCCATACGTCTCCTTCGCTATTTGTGTCTCCAATTCTCCGTATAGTTACTTCCGCTTGATTCCACATATTTTCTCCGCATTCTAATCAAACCTCACCATGGCGAATCGCTGGTCTCCAAAGCCACACCCTCACCCTCCACAATCTAGATCTTGGCATTTCCTCCTCAGCCAGGGACGCAACATCATGGTTGGAGCCGTGGTGCCGTGTGCGCTCTACTTTACCAAGTCCCCTTACAAATAACGAGGGGTTAGATTGCTTCTATTAAATCAACCGTGGTGCGGCCTCCTCTTGGTGCTCCTCACTTCCTCTACCACCTGCCCAACCACCACCGGGCCTTTCACTGGGGTAGCGATATCATGATCTTATCTAAGGCCAACCTCGCCATGTGAGTTGACATCGATGCTACCTCCGTCCTCGAATATACCATCTTTTTTCTTTAGTATGCTTCATTTTTTTTCTATTCCTATATTCTATAAGTGGCTAAACCGGGTTTGATTCCACCCTAAGAAAGGCAGCAACGTGAATGAGTTGGGGTTGTATAAAAATAATTTGTACCCTTTATTGGAATTATTGGAATTAATAGCAGTACATATGTAGAAACTCCACAATTGCTCTAGATATTCTTTTCGGTTAGAGAAATCGGTGACGCGGAAGCTTCGTTTTGTTTGCCGTGTATTGACAAAAGAATACAGAGTTATACATGGCATGAACCAAATTCTTAAACAACTGAAATTACTAATAAACAGACACAACTGGCACGACCGTTCACTCGCGTGTATAGCTAGCTAATGGGCGAATGGCCAACAACAGTCATCTTCTCCCTCTGTCCTATTCTTGCTTGTAAAAAATCAACAACTTTCAACTTTGACCAAATATATTTAAAATATTTATGGTACATATTAGTATCATTAAGTAGATAATTAAATATATTTTCATAATAATATAAACGTTACATATATTTTTTATAAACCTAATCAAAATAAAAAAAATTTAGTTAAGAAAGTTTAACCAGCATAATTCCTGTAACAATTTTTTTTTAAGGACGAAGGGAGTAGTACGACGATTTCTCATTCTGTGAAATTACAGGACCAGTCATCTCGTGTACTTGTGAATAGCAGGACACCATCTGTTATTTATATATTCTATGATGAAAATCCAAACTCTTGCCATTGATTCACAATGATGAGGATGCATAATAGTGATTGCGTAAAATAGCATATATGCTAGATGAACTACGACATTCAATTCTTAAACCAAACAGTGATATCCTAGATACATATGACCAGCTCTGAATAACTTTTATGCCTATAAATCATCTTTCTATGAATCACAGATTCACAGTCCATTTCACATAGATATATGCGCATAGCTCTGAATTTATCATTTATGTCTAAATCACCCTTCCATGTTTCCGTCCTTCCACTTCCACTCTTCCAGTACAGAACCACAGTAACAACTCGAAGTCAAGACAAACTAGGTAGCAAGCAAACTCACTTAACAAACATCACATGATCTTGCACGCTGGAGACGACGCCTCCTCGCAGGTGACCTCGATCTTTGGGTACTGCCCCCACGGCAGCTCCCCGTAGCACGGCGGGGGTGGTTCACGCATGCGCACGTCTGGCAACCGCAGCAGCGGCAGCCGTAGCCGTAGTCGTAGCCTCCACACCCGCAGATGCAGATACCGCAGCAGCACGACGGAGCAGGGTCCGGCCCGGGCGGCTTTGGCAGCATGGCTGGTCGCTGCGGTGTGAGCCTCAGTTCTGCCGCCACAAGCTGGATGTCCCTGATCAGGCAGCCCGCCTTGCGCCGGAGCGTGCAGGGGAGCACCAGTGGGTCGAAGGCCCCCGAGATCATCACCGTCCCGGACACCTCGTCGCAGGAAATCGCCCGGATGTCCTCGGTTTCTGCCAGCACGCAAGACTCAAGAGGGAATTAAACAGCTTTCTTATCACAATTCACAAGGGCCGGACGACAATATATAGATACTGAATCGACCGGGAGGCAAGTGATTATTACCTTGCAGCTTGCACACAGTCTTCCGGATCTTGGTGAAGCAGCGGCAGCAGCCTGGTTGAGTGTGACGACCAGCGTGGACACCTGCATGATGATACTATAAATTACTCTGCGAGTGTTGATGCAAGTGATACTAGCTAGTTGCCAAATAAACCAAAATCACTGGAAATACAGATGATCATCAAATCAAGTAGATAAAAACATCAAGGAACACAGTTACACAGAGACCGAATTGGAGAAGAAACGCAGAGATTGGAGGTAGAGAAGAAACACAGAGATCGGAGGTATAGAAGAAGGCAGAACCTTCTCTGCCATGTGTGCTCTTTCTGGAGAATGGTGATGTACTTCAAGGGGAGTACAACTACAACACTGTAGTATTTATACCTCCACTGCTCCAGTGGCACCCGTGGTCCGTGGAAGGATAGCTGATAGCACTGTTCATGGGCCGGTATTTATGTGTGGCTGCACTTACTTGGGCCGAATCATGTTAGGACTTGGCTAAGGTTCCCTTTGGTTATAAATTAATTAGAAAAAACAAAAAAAGTTATATACTCTCTCCGTCCAGAAAAGAACGCACTTCTAACCAGTGTCATGAATCAATTATAGGTAAAAAAATATCAATAGTTACAATATCAAATAAATATCATTAAATTAATTACGAAAAACATTTTCATAATAAATTATTTTGAAGCCGTAAATGTGAATAGTATTCACTAGAAATTTGATCAATCATGAACTACTTTTGATAGCGCGCAACCCGTAGTTGCATTCTTTTCCGAGAGAGAGAGAGAGTATATATCATTAGGAGTACCCAACCCATTTCTAAAAAACAATACTTTGAGATTAATATAAAGTGCAATACAGAGAGCGCTACAACACACCGATAACATGAATACTCAGTTCCCATAATAAGCACTGGCAATGGTACAGATCAACAAAGAACAGGAGACATGCAGATACAATGATGGCATCATCTGGTATTAGAAAGCATTCAATTTTACATCTCTACGTATAGAATTGAATATGTATACGATAAACAAAAAGAAAGGTGAAAAAGAATCCTAATACATTTTGAGCATCTAAAGAAAGTAAGTAGATGCTCTAAGACATCATTCGTATGTTCTCTTCCTTTTCAGGATTGTTGGAACGACAGCAACAGATCCAATAAGGAACAGAACCACTAATGTCTTGAAGTCATACAGCTCTCTAACTGATTTCAGATCGCCTAGGGCTCTACCAGCCTGCATGACAATGACACGAAAATTATTAGCAGGAAAACAACTGAAAATGCTAGAAAGCAGGTATAATCAAGGAACAAGACCGTCAGGCTCCAAAGAAAGGTAAGATTCGTTATTTCAATGAAATACATTGAGAAGATAAAAGATGTTCACTGGAGTTACAGGGAAGCATAAAGTGGGTGAAGCTCACAGCTCAGGTAATTTCTAGGTCAAGGAAGTAGCCTGATAGCAGTAAAACTAAGTATAGGCTTAGAGGTTGCACGGGGATGGGAAGTATGGATACAGTCTAACAAGGTTCCTACTGGTTAATTGGAATTAACAACAGTTATAGGTAAGGAGCCCCCAGGCCCAGCCACGTGTGATGATGTTTGCTCATACAGCTTCCACTAAACCCAGAAAACTTCAAAGATATGTAATACTTTTGTTAGAGGCTTGAAGCTATCAGCAAAGACATGCTTAGGCAGTTCATGACACATGTTATCTTTCATCTCCATTCATCAAACTTCAGCAGAAGAACAATGCCATACATTTAGAACCCTAAACAATGACACATATTTGGCACTCTTGATGCTTAAGCACCCAAGTCCATGTTTCAAGTGATTTCTTTACAATACATGGACTTTGGTTGACTAATGATTCAATATAATCCAAAAATGAGTCAAACAATCATACCAACTCTGTTGTTAAAGAAGATTACCTTTACAGTAATATAAGATGCTGGAATAAGACCAACTAGTGTTGCAGTGAAGAAAATATGGAAAGGTACGTCAACAATCGGTGACGCCATATTTATGAATGTATTGGGCAAAGTTGGAGTTATTCTCAGAAAAAGCATATAATTCAATAGCTTTTCTCTCCTCTTAGCAATCTGCGTGAGAAAAAATAGTATTTGTTACATAATAGTACATGACTATAGGTCATTTTTATGAAATAAAGAAACGGCTGAACTTTGTGTTGCAGGAAGGATCTCAAGAAAACGTTAACCAACAGAACAGGCATATATAGCAGAAGATACCTCTGACTGGAAATATCTCAGTTTTTCAGGCCACAACCAACTGACCAAGGGTCTGCCAATCAGCTTGGAGACAATATAGCAGGACGATCCACCGGCCGTGGCAGTGAAAACTACCAAAATGCCACCTTTAATCACTCCAAAAAGAGCCCCAGCAAGTAAAGACATGAATATTGTTCCAGGGATCATGAATGTTTGCATGAAGATGTATATTGAGCAATAACCCAATATAAAATTTGTTTGATAATCTCTCGCGTAAACAGCAAGATTGTCTCTGCAAGTTTATAAAAAAACTTATTAGCAAACAGCAACAGATATGTCTCATTCCCAAACTATATCCACTAATTTCATTCTCACTATATACTCTACAAAGATTGCAGACATGAAAATTACTCACTCTGTTCCAAATTGTAAGTCGTTTTGGCTTTCCTAGGTCCATAACATTTTATATGCACCTAGATACACGCTATGTCTAGATACTATAAAAGCATAAATGACTTGCAATTTTTTCATGTTATTATCCACCAATGGTAACAGAGTGTAAGTCTAGTAGAAAATCAATTAAAACAAATTGGCTATGTGTTCAGTAACACCTGCGCTAAGATTGAAAATTCTTAGAATTCTATGGTTAATAAACTAGTACAGGTAAAATGTTCAAATAGGAAAATAGCATAGCATCAGATGCACTCAGCTTGTATCTTAGAAGGGGACTGTAATTGAAACGTAGGAGCACAGCTCGATGTGCTAGATTTTGGTAAATACTCGCAGTGTCTCTTAGACAACAACAACAACAACAAAGCCTTTAGTCCCAAACAAGTTGGGGTAGGCACCTAATAAAATTGTTCAATTAGCCAAAACAAACAAAATGAGTGTCTGTGCTGTTGTAACAAGAAATGTAAGTAAATAACTGAATGTACTATGGTTTGGTGAGTGGTTGGCTGGTTGTAACAGAAATGCAAGGTCACATCCTAATTCATCAGAACAAATGACCAATTGGTAGTTATAACTAATTTTCAGTGAGTTGTTGTCTTGTTAAATTAGTAACCCAGAACTGAGGGATAGGCGAAACAATCCTACGACTCAGTTGATGGCGACAGAGGTCAAATGTCTATTCTGTACTGTGAAAGATGAGTACAATGCATAAGTTAGGTTCAAATATCTATTTACAAGGTTAAATCGTGTTATCTTAATGGAAAACTACAAAATAATCCTAGCTCTTGAATCATATTAGGTCCAGGATCTTATATTAGTGCCAGTAACTTTACAAGATTCAATTTATTGTATCGGATGCACAACAAAGCATACGGAACTTGTACCGAACTTCAACAAGAGGTATGGATAAAATGAAAATATTTACTTTATCTAACTAAATCGATAAGGGTACAGTAGTCCAAAAAACTGTAAATAATTAATTTGGTACCACAACAGCATTGTCCAGTGTTTATATCTATAACTAAGTACTTCTCTAACATGTAAAACCCAACATAAATGTGGGTAGCATCTTTCATCTTGTATGGATGATGGTAATGGGGAGCTTTGAAAAATTGACACGGAAGGCCAATATACTTGCATACTTCCCCTGCTAATTAACTTGAGAAGAATTATAGTGGTACTGAGTACTGACTCCTGAGAGATAAAATTTACAGCGAGAAAGAAAGCTAGTCGCTGTCCACGACAATTACAGCAAGAAAGAAAGCAAGTCGCTGTCCACAACAATTACACTATTGAAATTTGTACATCCAATGAGCTCCTAATCTTGCCTAATTCCTAACGAGGTTTTGACTTAGACGAAGTCTCCCATTGTTGCAGCCACTGCAAGATCAAATAGGAAAGCAAGCCTCTTTTGTCCCCTTTCTTGAAATTAGTAACCAATATATCTGATGTTTAAATTTGCATCTACTAAAACATGTCTTCAGTATTATTTGATTGCACCGCGTGTTCATCTTTGATCTCACGCATCACGAAATCTCACATCTCCATCAGGTTAGTCCTCAGAAATCGGCATCCGAAATCACACCCAAACTAGCACTAGTGAATCAACAGATACCAAGCTTGTAGTACGATCTACACTACACGTTTCAGATACCCGATTTACACTACGCGTCTCAGATACGAAATAGCTTCGATCCAAATAAAAGGTCGATCGGAGAAACAACGAGCAAGCGGGCAGAGATATGCTGACTTGAGAAGGCGGACGTCGGCGAGGCTGCGCGGGAGGCGGAGGATCTGCCCGAACTCGCCGCGTGGCGCGGTAAGGAAGACGCAGAAGATCCCGGCGGTGAAGAGCGCGAGCACGGCCGCGAACGCGAACGCCTCAGACCTCGTCAAAGCCGGGCGCGCCCCTGCTAGCTCCGGCTTGCCCTTCTTAGAGGCAGGAGAGTCGTCGCTGCCGGGGCCGGCGCCGGCGCCCGCCGCCTCGATGTCGCGGCGCGCGAACGGCATGGCCATGCCGGCGACGGCGGCCGCGGCGGCGGGGCGGGGGATGTGACGCGGAGGGAGCGCCTGCTACTGCTACTGCTGCTGCTGCTGACGCCGGGGCTACGAGGCATGTCTCGGGGGCGGCCTCATGGGGTGGCGGGCGAAGGCGACGACACCGAAGACAGGAGGTCGGGGGGCCGGTGGTGCGGTGCTATGTTCTGTGCCGCGTCGTGTTTTTTGTTCGGCTTTTCTTCGTTTTTTTTTCTTTGGGTTGCCGTGTTTGATCCGGTGCGTCGATTGGTGAGTGTCGGATGTGTCTTTTGACCTTTGACTTATTTATTATAAGGGCCAGACTTGGGCCGAGTTCTGTCCCGGCCCTTTGGTGACCAGGACTCCTAGGCCGACAAGTACAGTATTTTCATCTCTCTCTCTCTCTCTATATATATATATATATATATATATATATATATTAGCCAGCTATAAAATAAGTTATTCTGTCATATTTACGATAGTTGGGTTACTATAACACATGGGGATATTTACCATAACGATATAGTAAACCACTTAGCAAGGAGTTACTATAATCTCGTAAATTAACATAGTAATTATCGTAACTCAAAGTGGCTACAGAGTATATATATTATATACACACACACTCCACTCTTTGCTAAAAAAAATCTACATACTCCACTCAAAAAAAAATTATATACTTCATCCGTTTCCAAATTGTAAGTCGATTAGACGTTTTTGATACATAAATTTTGCCATGTATCTATACATACGTAATTGTCCATGGTTGCAACTGGGTAGTGATGAGAGCAAACACACTACCACTACCGATTTCACCTAACTTCTTGAGCCACACAATCTCTAATCCGCAACGTGTTGTCTGTAACACCCCAGGTGTTTGTCACCAATGAAGCAATGGGTTTAAGCTCAACCATGGCATGTTAAGTAGTGATGGAGATGTTAGGATAAACATATGAAAATGAGTCACCACTTAAACTTGGACCATGCACCATTGCTTACATGCTGCCCTTTCTAAAGAGTATGCTTGGGAAATACTAGATGTACTTGTTTCATGTGTCTCGCATCAATATCCATCTATATTGATCCATGGAAAAGTTTCGTGAAGTTTGGAATCAAGAAGTCACATGAAATGACAAATTATGTCCTTGCTTGAATTGTTTTATAAAGTGAATGGAATTCTAGATCGCCAACCAAACCTTGTAACCTTGCCCAAATGACTCTAATTGAACTCTACAACAAAAGTCATGAAGGGTTTGTGTTTAGCACATGTCAAGAAAAGGCTTCAATTGGTCGAAAACTCTAATTCTAGGGTTAACGAGATGCTGCTTTGACCAAAGTAAAAGAATGGTTTATATTCAAGATACAAGGTTTGACCTTAAATAAAAGTTGTAGTATAGTTTGTGTACTGCAAACTTTATTTAAGGACCTAAGTCTAAATCTATCTCTAAGCTTGACAAACAAAGGTCACAAGATTGATTCTGCTGCAATCTTCAGCACTTAGAATTATTCTAAGTCTGGAGTTTCGCTAAGCATCGACATTGACATCCCGCGTTCTCTAAATTTTTCTAAGCAACTTGAGTTGGTCCAAAAATAAAAGTTGAAGGTTATATTATGGAGAGGAGCATACAAAAAGTTGCACTGAGTTTGACCGAGTTTTGACCTCCGAAAGCAAATTTCCGTGATCGTTATCAATGTGTTGACACTAGCAGTTTGTAGCTTAATTACCTACTAATCCATAGCTCAAATGAATTGGCACCCTTAATAAGAAATGTAGAGCTGACCTAGGTGAGCAAACTTCGTTTTGGGCCCATTGCTAAATTCAGCCTGGAAGCAGCCCAAATTGACTCCCCACGTCGACCATACCGTCGCCTGCCACGTGCTCGGTAAAATGCCTCAAGGGGCGACGCGTGCCCCGTGCGTGGCCGCCATGCACAGAGCGTGCCCACCATTGCTGCCGCGTGGTATGCCCCTGTCGCGTCGCTGCGCCCTCCTGGAGTGAAAGCCGAGCGGCCCTCGCCTCCTCTCTCGCCTTCCCGTCGCCCCTCTTGCTCCAACCGCGCGCCTGCTCGCGTGCCAGAGCCGCCATGGCCGTCATGGCCGAACTCCCTTGCGCCGTTGTTCCTTCTCCTGCAGCCCTCCAGCGTCGCCACCGTGAATGCCTATGGCTCTGCGACCACCTCCCCAAGCCATAGATGGAGCCATGAACCACAGTGCGCTTGCCGGCGCCGAAGCCGCCGCCGACGGCAATGCCCTGGCTCTACTCTGCTACTGCGCTGCTGCTACCTGTCGCGTGGCTGGCCTGGGCCAAGCGCGGCCACGACGGTCCACGGCCAAGCCCCAGCACCGCCTCCTCTGTGGCCGCCGAAGTCCCTCTCCAGCCGGCCAAGTCGGCCGCCGGCCGACCACCATGCTCTGCGTCCGTCTATGAGTAGGAGGAAGACGATGGACCTCGCGCGGCAATAAGGGAAAAGGCAGGGGGTTTTGTGAAGAACTAGTAACTCCAGTGAACAATGCCGAAAAGGATCAATTTGTTCGTATTTAATTTGTGTTTTCCGCAGGGACCCCGATGCAAGATTTCAATTTCCTTTTTCTCTGGTTTTTATAGATTTGAATGCTCCACTTTGAAAATCCGTATTAATTAGTAGAAAAATCCTAAAATAACAAATGTGGACTTTTTGGAATCCTTGTGAAATTCTCTATGTACTAGATTAATAATATTACATGTTTTAGTTTAAAGGTTTAGCTGTAAAAATAGATTTAGGCAGTTAGGTTCTTAATGCTAGTCATGTCTTGTTCTTTTTATAACTGCAGTTATTTTATTCAATTAAATGTGAAATTTTTATGGAATGTTACTGATGTGATTAGTGATGTCTGGTAAAAATTTCAGTATTTTAGGCTTGATAGTTTAAGATCTATAAAAATAACAAATTACCTGTATTGCCTTACCACTATTCTGAATAGGTCTGCAAGATTAAATTAATTGGCTTAGTTAGGTTATGAATCATGACTTGATGATAATACATGAGTTGTAGTACTTTTATTAATCTTTTCAAAAAGCTAAATATCATGATTTTTGGTTAAGTAGATCTTGAGTTATACTTGCTTAAATATCAGTGGCTGTTTCTGCCCAAACTATGACAGGGTTACCTTGTTGGTATTGTGGAGCCTCCTTAATAGTAGAATTAGTTTTAGGTGTTTACAACAAAGTTGTTTAGAATTGGATAATATTTCTAAAAAGTCTAGAAACATATTTATTGGACATGTATAACTCCATTTATAGCTGTTTAAAGTGGCATGTCAGTTTCTGTCTATGTTTAGGACAGAGATGCAATTATTCAATTAATTGACCCTTCTAACTGTAGAATCATCTTAATATGAGAATAAGAAAGTTGTAGGTAACTTCCTAAGCTTTTCAAAAAGTTATGGTTCATGTTTGTTGGAGACCTAGAACTCCAGTTATGCTTCTCTGAAGTTCCTATTAGTTTTCTGTACCACTGCTGTTGGATTGCATTCGCAGTTTTGCTTGTGCAATTATTTTCGTGGTGTAAATGATGTTTGCTATGGTTGTAGTGAATACAAAAGTTGTAGAAAATTTCATGATCTTGCTTGTGTTCAAATTGTAAGGTCATAGGCCAGATAGTGTAGGAGTTACATGATTTTTAAGTCTTCTGTCAGGTTTTGATTGTATTCTGAGCAGATCTAGAAGATGCTAGTGTTTGATCTAGTTAGGGTTTGAATGAGCTTTTGGTGATAATAACAAAGTTGGATATAATTCATGTATCTAGCTGCTGTTAAAATTTGGTGGCATTTGGTTTTGTGGTTTGTGAGTTATGCCTGTTTAAAGTTGGGTTACAGAATTGATTGCTCTCTGTCAATTGTGGACCAGTTTTTATAAATGGATATATTTGACTTAGTTAACTTGAGAATCATGCTAAGATGATTAAAAATGAATTGTATAAAATTTCATAAGCTTTCCAAAATGTTTTCTTGTAAGTCATTTGGATTTGTGTAACTCCAATTATAGCTAAATCTTGTAGCTGATGTTTGCATGTCTAGAAATTGACATATTCCAATTATAGTTGTTTGCTTGTGTATTGCTAAGTGTGGCTCATACCTTTGATGATGGTTGAGTTAGAGTACCTGAGATCTTGGGAAATTTGTGTCATGCTTGGGTTGTCATCTTCTTTGCTATCGTGGGATGATAAATTGTGCGATATTTAAAGTAGGCAATGCGAAGTGCTTGTGCATGATTAATGTAACCTTATGCTTGTCTTACTTACTGCATGCAATGCATTGTCTATTGCACTTCCATGTATTCATACACTTGCATATTGCATCTCATCTAGGTACGCTAGATGCACCATGTGAAGGATGCGATGTTGGAGCCAAACCCGAAGACATCGTTTGATGGATCTATCCCGAAGATGGAAGGACTAAGCAAGTGCTAGGACCTGATATGTCACCAGGATGGTGCAAGCTAACTGAACTGACTTGTGTTGGATCCCAGGCAAGCCCCGGAGCATATTAAGCCTCATAATTTCCAAAATGCAGTTAAAGTATTATTGTTACATATATATATTGTTGCATTAAGTTTAGGTGTTGGATGCAAACACTTGCTGCATTGGTTATCCAATCCTTATCTAGATATTGATACCCTAGATCCTATATAGCTCAGGCTCGTGTAGTTCTTAGCCCTGCTTAAACGCGGTAGAAGTCAGGTGATTTTCTGTCACCTGCGAGATATAGGAATATACTTATGGCACGGTTGGCTATATTTGCTATCATGGAAAAAAATCTGTCTTAATTTGAAATGAAGACCGGGCGGAGGCTTGCCGGTTTGCAGTGAGTCCGTCTGTGTCGATTAAGGACTAAATCTTGGAGCCTTTCCTGTTCATGTTGAACGCATGCCTCTCTCTTAGTTGGCCGGGTCTGGAGACTGACCACGAAGCCGAGTAGCTCATCTCAGGCCGGGAGTCGATAAGTATAAAGTGCGCCTCGGA